TTGCCAGCGATCAAGTTGCTGCTTTAGCCAGGGTAGCGTAAGCCTTGTTGGACTCATTATGACGCACGCCTGGAGCATGTCTGGTGCCTCATAGGCTTGTTGCCGGAGGCGGTGCTTGGACCCAAAGTGTTGCTGGGCTGGTTGATTGTTGTGGTTGGGCTGTCCGCCTGGCTTTCCCCGCAAAGGGCTTGAAGAAGACTTGCCGCATTCAATGATCGGAACGGATGAATCTGGGTGACCCAGGTCCACCAAGATCTCAGTTGAGCAATACAACCATCCTCCACACCCACCCGAACTACCACCTCAAGAAAGACCCACGAGTTCTTCCAAGACGAGACGTCGTCTCCTTCTCAACAAGTGCCTGGAGCGATCAGTTCACACCTGCGCTACCATGACTGGAGGAAAAGTTTTTCATGTTTTTCCACAGGCAAAGCGCAGCCTGTGGATCGCATGACAAAGAAAAAGGTTGTGGAAAGATCAAGGTTCTGGAGTTCCGCAGGGACATCCTAAGTTCCATGACGATGATGATGCTGATGATGACAACGATCAGGATGATCCGGTGGTGTCGATCCATAACCAAGACAACGGCAAGCCTGGCAACCCAGCATTTTTTGCACGTTTTCATCTGTATTGTATCCAATATCCAAGCTTGGTGGGGCAAAAATGCGCAGGTCGGGAGTGGACGGATCAATGCAAGGGATGTCACGCCACCCCATACCTGCTCATAGCTGTAGAAGTAGATGAAGTTCCTTTATTCCAAAGTGTAGTGTTTTTCATGTTTGCTTGCACCTTGTCAATGTCCTCGCGGGGCCGGAGTTGTTTTCAGACCGTGTCCAGAGATCACCCCGTGCAAAGCGCAAAGAGCCGCAGTAAGGTTTTCAGTCTAAACAGGTTGCCATGTATACAGCAGAACTTGTTGCTTTGCAATTGCCCCTTCGTCGGAAAGCGAGGCAGGTTCAGAGTTCTCCGGATGGCATTCCAGTCCTTTTTGAAGAGTTGGCTTTTGCAAGTTCTGAGCTGTGGAAAGTCCTTGACAGATGTCTCTGCGTGGCGTGACCATGCCACCTCGAGTTTGCGTAGGCGGCGTAGCCTTGATCTTGAACATGGAAAGCTTGACGATGCCCAGTTCAACAAGTCCGCTCAGCTTCTCCAATTAAAGAAAGCAAGTCCAAGAAGAGCTCTTCATTGAAGAGGGGGCTGCCGGCGTTGATAAGGGGCCTGGGCATCTTGGTGGTGCACCATCGACGCCCTTCCTAATCTTTTCGCGCAGGAACAGAGCGTGTGACATCTCTAGGGAAAAGTGCGCCGAGCCGTGGTTGCCCAACCACAACTGCTCTCCCTTGCCGTGCGTGTGGTACAAGTCAGGTTCATCGTCGCGCCAATCTTCATCATGTTCTCCGTCCTCTCGATCAAGGAGCATGCTCATCTATGTAGTAGTCATCATCGAAAGCACAGCGATTGGAGGCTCGACTGATGAACCGCCTGTAGCCTTGGACGGTCGACCGCATCATCACTCGCCTTGTGGCAAAGGTTTTAGACAGTGCGTTCATCCAGCTTTCCCGGCAGATGCGTGCTTTGCGTGGACTGGAGGCCACCATCTACTGTCGGTGGCTTCTTTCCCTGTTCCTGAGTGTACTTACTTTATGGAAGTCTTGCGTGGTTCTTCGCCAGCAGGAGAGAAAACCAGTGAGACCCACGCATGGTCCACTGAGGTAGTACGTGGAGAACGATAGGTCGAACAACGCTTTACAGGGGACGAGATGGAGTGACTTGTGCTCCGCTGGCTTGGCGCATGACTGCGTTGGCTGAACCAAGGCATGCCGCTTCGACGCCAACATGCTCCAACATAGGTGCGCTCTTGAACCATACCGGTCGTGCCGGGTGACTTGAAGTTGCGTGGCAAGATCAGAGGCGGTGCTGCCGGATGCAGTGCCACCGCAGGCAGCACTGATTCGGTCAGCGTCCAGTTTACTCAGCCTGGTCCATAAATGGAGGAGATCCCGGTTGCGATGCCAGGCCAGGGGTATGAGTTCGAATTGGTGCCAACGTGAAAGCGCGGCTAGCAAATTCAGCAACTTGTGGCTTCAAGGCCAAGGCAGGTTCGGTGGCGTGGGTGATGTTGGTTTCCTAGTCAGTCTCAGAATTCTCCAGATAGCGCCCCGGTCAAAGCCAGCAGTTTGAAGAGTTTGGCTTTTGTAGCGCCAAGTTCTGAGCTGTGCAGTGGCGTGACCATGCCACCTCGAGTTTGCGTAGCCGGTGTAGCCTTCGCCTTCGTCTTGAACATGGAAAGCTTGACGATGCCAAGTTCAAGAAGTCCGCTCAGCTTGTCCGAGTAAAGCAAGCAAGTCCAAGGAGTCCAAGAAGAGCTCTTCATTGAAGAGGTTGTTGCCGGCATTGGTAAGAGGCCTGGACATCTTGGTGGTGCAATCTTGTCGCGCAGGAACTCGAGGGAAAAGTGCGGCTTTTCTTCCTTATAGTGCTGGTTAAAGTCATGGTTGCCCAACCACTACTGCTCTTCCTCGCAGTGCGCGCAGTACCAGTCAGGTTCATCGTCGTACCAATCTTCATCATGTTCTCCGTCCTCTCAATCAAGGAGCATGCTCATCTATGTAGTAGTCATCATCGAAAGCCCTGTAGCCTTGGACGGTCGACCGCATCATCACTCGCCGTGAGGCAAAGGTCATAGGCAGTGCGTTCACCCAGCTTTCCCGGCAAGAAGAAGATGCGTGCTTTGCATATACTGTCGGTGGCTTCTTTCCCCATTCCTGAAGGTGTATTTACCTTAAGGAAGTCGTGCGTGGTTCCTCGCCAGAAGGAGAGAACACCAGTGAGAACAACATTTTGCTGCCAGGGGGACGAGATGATGGAGTGACTTGTGCTCCGCCGGCTTGATGCATGACTGCTTTGGCTGAACCAAGGCATGACGCCTCGACTCCAACATACTCCAACATAGGTGCGCTCTTGAACCATACCGTTGTGAAGGTCGTGCCGGGTGACTTGAAGTTACGTGGCAAGATCAGAGGCGGTGCTGCCGGATGCAGTGCCACCGCAGGCAGCGCTGATTCGGTCAGCATCCATTTACTCAGCCGGTAGCAATGGCAGGCCAGGGGTATGAACTTGGATGGCAGCCTGAAGGAACATCTTTGCCACCACCTTCATTCTCCTGTGGTGGTAGTGGTGGTGGTGAAAGGATGCATGGAGACGGTGCGGGTGAGGTGGAATGTGAAGAGCGGAGAGTGGATGCTTTGAATTGGTTGGGTGCAAGATGAGCGGAAGGTGTCCTGACATGTCCTGACAGGGGCCGAAATGAGAACCGAGTGGTTCCCTGCTACCGATTTGGAACCTGGTCTGGAGTGAAAAGACCTTTTAACTTTTAACCCACCGACGTGTGCGTCTACACGGACGTGTGTCAACACAACGAGCGATCGAGCGATTCGATATCCAAGGCGCCAGCCTTTTGCGAACTTTGAGCCAGTTCAATTTGGCGGCATTGGTTAGTGAATTTGTTTCTTTTTGGGCACTTGGTGAGATGAACCTGAGCCGAGAATCCGTTTCTTCGAGCCTCACCTTACACCGTAGGTTTGGATCCGTGGATGGGGTGCTGGCTGAATTGAGTCACATATTGAGATTCTCACCGGGTTCGTGTCCGCGCTTTTCATGAGCCACGAACACAGCCCTGAGACGCCTCAAGGATCTTTGAGACTGTCTTTATGTCAGTCAGGTTCTTCTCAAGAGATGCAGGGAGGAGGGCGCAACAATATGCCCGCACAAAGAAAACGACCACTTACAGTTGGCAGAAGCAGCAGCAAAGCTCGGGCCTTGGCCTTTCCTTGTGGTGCAGGGGATTGAGCAAACTGCCCAGGTGCAACTCGAGAATCCTCAATCAAGTCGACAGGCCTGGAGAGATGAGCGGGGGTTGGTTGATTAGGACACCTCATGATGTTGGTATATTTGCAGAAACAACTTTGGAAGGCTAGTTGTTTTTGCCACCAACCGCTCGGACAAGTATTTGAGCTTGGTCAAAGAGGCCGGAGAAAGGCCTCCGACTGGCATAATTTGCATTTGTAATCCGCTGCGTTTAGAAACGTCATCTGGTTCCTGGTTGCATTGCGCCGGAAAATGTAAGTCCATGGCTCATTTGTTGCCCTCGCCGAGGCCAAGGATAACAATGTCATGGTGGCTGCTTTCAATGTTGACCTGTGAGCCACCTGGGTTGGCAATTGCCTGCCTGTTCCTGCGAGGATGTCTTCCTGTGCAAACTTCAGGGGGGTCGGGTTTTTCTTCTTCAAAAATCATGAAAGTAGCATAAAGTAGCCAACCCCGCACCAAAACCATGGTTTGCTCATCAGAGTGCTTCATGCCCTCCAAGAAGGAGGATCCATTATGACCGATTCATCTCATAGGTTCTTCAGGATTTGTATTTTCGGTTGAAGATTCAATTCAAACAAGTGATCTCGAGAGAATGGTCCCGACCTCGATCTCCAGAGTTTCACCCATGTCAGTTGGCCGTGCCGGAAGCAGACTCACTCGAGCGAACCACCCTGTTGCCCTGGGAGTATATTTGAAAACTTAGCCATGTGCAAAGCACTTGAGTTGATTGTGGCTGGAGAGGCCCACAGATACCGGCAGGAAGGAGGTGCTTGGCTTAAAGAAGCATGTGTTTACGCGCCGTCAAAAAAGGGCCGCTAGTGCGCTGCAGACGAAGATGTTCTAACGAGAAGCGAAGAACTTCAACAGTGCACAGTTTCTTCTTCAATTTCTTCACTTCTTGTTTCTATTGTGAAGGTATCAACTGATGATCACTTTTCTTTGGCGGGCCCAAAAGGAGAGTTTCATATGCATTGTGATTTGTTTGAAAGTAACCTCCTGACCTATTGCAGGCATTTACCCGTCCTGTATGAGCTTGCTAGGCGCATGCAGGATGATTCTCTGACAGATATTGGTACTGTATCTGCGTTGTGTCCGATTATGTGTCACGATAACATGAAACATGCGCCAATGAACTGCACGATTGAAGAGATTGCTGCGCAAACATGATGTAGCGCGCAGAGTTGTGCCCGTCTCAGTTTCCCGTAGCCATGGCCCCGCGCAGAGGCAACGCTCGATTTGCTGTAGAGTGAGTTTTGTGTGCTTTGCATTGCTTTGGTATGGGGGAAGTGGAAGACTTCATCGCCGCTGAGAGATGACCAGGACACATATGATTTTATGCGCAGGTAGGCTGTTCTACAATATATGGTCTACGCGTGTTTGAGCATCTATATAACCTCAAGTCGTTGCCTTGCTAGTGCGCGCATTTGGGTCCGGCTTTCATCGTCAAATTCAACTGCCGAGGCCAAACCCAGAACACTGGGCAGCAAACCTTGAGTTTTTGGATGCGGACTCGTGAAGAAGGCCGGAAGAAAGGGGTCAGATTGCCAAAGAATTGCCATGAAGGGGCAAGGAGTGAGTGAGGGAGGGAGGGAGAGGGAGAGGGAGAGGGAGTGGGATCAGACAATCTCCATGACGGCTCACACGCCCCAAGCAACATGATACGTATTACGGAACCTTGATTATTCGGACGTTCCACGTTAGGCCATGTGCGCAGAGTATTAGACTTTAACCGAATGAGTTGCCAGAAGAACACATCAAAGGCGGAGGAAGAGGAAGAGGAAGAGGAAGAGGAAGAGGAAGAGGAAGAGGAAGAGGAAGAGGAAGAGGAAGAGGAAGAGGAAGAGGAAGAGGAAGAGGAAGAGGAAGAGGAAGAGGAAGAGGAAGAGGAAGAGGAAGAGGAAGAGGAAGAGGAAGAGGAAGAGGAAGAGGAAGAGGAAGAGGAAGAGGAAGAGGAAGAGGAAGAGGAAGAGGAAGAGGAAGAGGAAGAGGAAGAGGAAGAGGAAGAGGAAGAGGAAGAGGAAGAGGAAGAGGAAGAGGAAGAGGAAGAGGAAGAGGAAGAGGAAGAGGAAGAGG